GCTGGACTCCCCGACATGCGGGACCCTATCGGTCACTGCACCGGAAGATCCGGCAGCAGGCGTACTCTTGGCGGCCTGTGGCCGCGTTCGCTTCGCCGAGATCCTCTCCTCCATCTCGGCGAAGCGGCTGTTCATGATCTCGCCTACTCGCCGGATAATCCGGTCTTCGGCGGCCTCCGATAGGGTCCGGGGCGTGGCACCTTCCGGCGCTTCCGCCGTTGTCCCGGTGATCACCACTGGGGGCAATTCAGCGGCGGTTTTGGCCTCCTCCAATTGCCGCAGCGCTTTGTGAAGGGCGGCGCGGTCGAGAGCGTTCGAGTCCTTGAGCTCCTTCAACTGTCGAACGCTATCGCGCGCCTGCCGCTCCCACTCCACGCGCTCCGCCTTCAACATGGCCAGTTCTTCGGCCAGCGCGGCGGAAGACTGCGACGCCATCTGGAGCTGTCGGAACTTCTTCCTCTCCTCGACAGACTCCTTCAGCATCGCAGCCTTCATCTCTCTGACCTCGTCCAACTCCTCGCGGAGTTTGCGGACCTCTCGCCTGAGGGCTTCCTCCTCCGGGTTTGACGACCTTTGCCTCAGGGCACCCGACGCCGATCGGATGGTGTGGATGGCGCGGTTGATCTCTCCGACTATAGTGCCCTTCAGGTTGCTGGACTTTCTGACTGCAGCAAGGACCTGAAGGGCACTATTTTCCACCTTGGCGCCCAGCTCGTCGGCGCCCAATGTGGCATTCTCCTCCGAGTCTCTTCGGACGCGCGAGACGGACCTGGACGATTCGGGTCCAGAGGCCGAAACCCCTGTCTCCGATCGCGCCGCAGACTTGGCCGTTCGCGCTCCCCTCTTGGCCGTTGGAGGGCCCCTGGCCCTGCTCCTCCGTGCAGCAGATGACAGCTGCACGTGGTCGGCTTCATCGTCATCGGAGTCCAGCTCCTCCTGACCTCTCTCTGCGATCCTCCTCTTTCGATGTTTCTTGGGGGGCGAGGTACTCCCTCTCGCCTCCCCAAGGTTGTCATCGGACCGGAATGACATTGAGGACCCTGTGCATTCCGAGTCCATGTCCGCTACGTGCAGTTCGAGGGCCTCCAGGTAACTAACGGCCCCGTACTTCCGTATCAGCTCCTTCTGATACCTCTCCTCATCGCTGCCCGTGTCCCCCCCAGAGTACGTGGGACGGCCCACCCCCGGCGAATCCGGTGCGGTGGGGGAGGATTCTCCGGCCGCAGAGCGACCGGTACCTCCCTGGGGTAATATACTTTTTCGTTCAGCCATGATGATGATTTTCCTTTTTACGGGTGTGGTCCCGACCTCCTGCCACCAACGACGAAGAAAGAAAAAGAAAATAACCAAAAGGACAGCAAAGACAAAAGATAGACAAAGACAGACAACAACCAAAACAAACTAAAACCAAAACAAACAAATTTGGACCCAAAGAAGAAGAACGAAAATCCGAATCAAAAGAAGAAGAACCAAAATAAAATAAAAATGAAGAGAAAGTTGGGGGGGTTCGCCGGCTCCGGCAGCCTCGACTTTGTCGAGGCATGGGAACCGCGAACACGCCCAACCTGCCGGGCTACTGGCCGACATAGTAGCCGTATCCCGAAGGAACGACTACTATCCCGCCCGGGGCGTACCAGAACCAAACCATTGCTCGGCCACCGTTCCCCGCGGACGTATCCACGAGGATGGGGAAGCCTCCCAATGGCAGGCCCATACTAGGAGGTTGCCCGACCCACGCCCCAACCTAACCTAACCTAACCTAACCTAACCTAACCTAACCTAACCTAACCTAACCTAACCTAACCTGTACGGTGCATATATTTTAAAAATTTTATATTGACAATAAAAACATATTGACTCCCAAAGCGAGGTTCACATACTCAGAACCCCCTTTTTTTCCGGGAGGGCACATAACGCTAACAAGACACACTTTGTCCACCCATCAAAATGTTTGGAATTAGGACTCCGCAAAGACCGACCAGGAGGGCCAGCACAATCACTCCTCCCCAAGAACTTAGCAGTGGGAACACGAGTGTCCGCCGTAGCATAGGAGAAATTGAGGCAAAAACAGCGCCAAAAGTAATTAGCCCCAGGACTAGACTGGAAGAAGCTAGGATATGCCACAACAAGGCAAAAAGTAATTTAGCCCTCTTCAAAAATTTGAAAAGGGAATTAAAGGACGATACGGCCGTGCAAGTGGAGAGGTTGTACAGCCTGATAAAGGATGCGGAAGCGGAAATTGAAAAGCTTAGAAATGATGGGAAGATAGAAGGTAAAATAGTGGAAATTAAACAGGTAGAAAGGGAGAATACGGAAAAGGGAAAAATAGACGGGGAAATTGATAGGAAATTAGAAAGCATTTTGGAAGGGATAAAGGACAACAACAAAATTTTAAGGGAGAATAGGGACAGAATGGAAGGGATACGGAAGAGTATGGAAGAAAGGGATGAAAGGGATAAGGAAGAAAGGGTAAGCCACGCCTCCTACGCCGAGGTAGCTGCAGCCACCGGGAAAGGGAAAGGAGTAGTAGAGAGAGGTACGCTGCACTCGGTGGTGATAGCATCGACAGATGAGGAGGATACGGCGGAGGAGGTGTTGGAAAAGCTCAGGAAGACGGTGGATGCGAAAGAGGGTTGGGTTCGTGTGGAGCGGGTGAGGAAAGCTAAGGATAGGAAGGTGATTGTGGGTTGTGTCAAGGAAGCAGATAGGGCAAAAATAAAGGAGAGGATCAGCAAGGCAGGGAAGGGCCTCACCGTCGAGGACATCAAAAACCGAGATCCGCTTCTGATTCTGAGGGACGTCATCAAAGTGCACTCGGATGGAGAGGTGCTGATGGCGCTCCGGAATCAGAACCGGGGGGTCTTTGATGGCCTCAACGGAGAGGAGGGCCGCGTGATGATAAAATATAGGAAGAAGGCTAGAAACCCACACACCAACCACATCGTATTGAGCGTCTCCCCCACTGTATGGAGAAGGGCACTCGGGGAGGAGAAACTACACATTGACCTCCAAAGGGTCCGAGTAGAGGATCAATCCCCCTTGGTGCAGTGCACTCGTTGTTTGGGGTACGGTCACAGTAAGCGGTACTGTAAGGATACCGCGGACCTGTGCAGCTACTGCGGGGGCCTGCACCATGCAGCGGAGTGTACCGACCGTATAGTGGGGGCGACGCCTACGTGTATAAACTGCCGCTTGGCAGAAGTAGAGGACCCGCACCACACGGCCTTCAACGATGTATGTCCGGTGAGGAAAAGATGGGACTCGTTAGCCCGGGCATCGGTAGCGTACTGCTGAGGTCACCGAGGGGAATGCCCGAAAACACCTGGTGCTCCAAGCAAACCTGCAAAGGAGTAGAACAGCCACCAGTGAACTGCTGATGGAGGCCGCCAGCCGTAGGGCCTCACTAGCATTGCTCCAGGAGCCCTATGTGGGGGGGAAGGGGAGGGTAGCGGGACGCAGAGGAGCCAGAGTATTTCAGTCTCCCGGGACGGATGGCGAGGGTGGCGTGAAGGCCGCCATCATAGTGTTTGATGGAGGCCTTCAGGTCACCCAACACCCGGAACTCACCACAAACAACATCGTGGTGGTGGGCGTCCGTACTGGGAACTGGAGTATGGCGTTTGTGTCCTTCTACTTCGAACCAAACAAACCCATAGAGCCTTACCTGGAGCAGCTAGGGAGGATCAGGGATAGGCTGGGGACCGACAGGCTGATCATTGGTGGAGATTCTAACGCGAAGAGCATCTGGTGGGGCGGCCTCCTCGAGGACCGAAGGGGCGAGCTGATGCGCGGGCTTATATGCGAGTCAGGAATGAACGTGCTTAATGCAGGATCCTCCCCAACTTTCGACACATGGAGAGGAGGGAAACACTACAGTAGCTACGTCGACGTGACGGCGTGCACTGAGGAGGCACTTAACCTGGTGACTGGTTGGAGAGTAGATGACTCTCTAACCAGCTCCGACCACAACGGTATTACATTTCACGTACACTTAACAAAGCCAAAAGGAACAGAGATAACACGAACCACACGCATTTACAACACAAAGAAAGCAAATTGGAGCCAATTTCATGAGAAATTGGCCCAAATTATGCAAGACACACACATGACACCACAGGAACTCGAAACAGTTACACAACACTCACAACTCGAGCACGCCATTGATCAATACACGGAAGCAATAACACAAGCATGCACACAAGCGATACCACACAAAAAACACAAAGACACACTTACCATACCGTGGTGGACGGACGATCTCACGAAGATGAAGCGTGAGGTCGTCACCAGGAGGCGCCGAATCAAAAACGCACAGCCGTCGCAGAGGGCTGCTGTAGTGGATCTCTACCTGAAACAAAATAAAAAATATCATGAGGCCATAAAAACAGCACAAGTCGAGAGTTGGAGGGGATTCTGTGAAAAGCAGGAGCGAGAGGGAATGTGGGAGGGCATATATAGGGTAATAGGTAGGACAGGGGCTAGGGAAGAGGACGAAATGTTGGTTGAGGGAGAAAAAGTGTTAGACGCGCAGGGGTCAGCCGATCTACTTGCACGGAGGTTTTATCCTGGAGATAACAAACAGGCGGACACTGAAATACATAGGGAAATAAGGGAAAAAGCAGAAAAGGTAAACTGCAAGGAGGATATTGCTGCTGACCCCCCCTTCACGATGTCGGAATTAGAAGCGTCAGTTGAGTCCTTCAACCCAAAGAAAGCCCCAGGCTCGGATGGGTTCACAGCGGACATCTGTGCGAGGGCGATTGGTGGTAACCCTGCATACTTCCTAGCCCTGCTGAATAAGTGCTTGGTGCTGCAGCTTTTTCCTAAAAGATGGAAGGAGGCGACTGTCGTGATCCTCAGGAAGCCAGGCAAGACCTCGTACACAGACCCCAAGTCGTACAGACCAATAGGACTGTTACCGGTTTTGGGGAAGGTGTACGCTGGTCGCCCGTCTCAGATTTCACCTGTTGCCAAGGATTAGTACTCGCCAGTACGGATTCATGCCCCAGCGCAGTGCCGAGGACGCCCTCTATAATCTAATGAGTCACATCAGAAGCAAACTCCACGAGAAAAAGATGATAGTGCTAATATCCCTGGATATAGAGGGCGCCTTCGACAGCGCTTGGTGGCCGATGATAAGGGTCCGGCTGGCTGAGGAAAAATGCCCGGTAAATCTGAGACGAGTAATCGATAGCTACCTGAGGGACAGGGCAGTCGAAGTAAGGTATGCTGGAGCACGGGCAACGCGTCAAACGGAGATAGGATGTGTGCAGGGTTCGATAGGGGGACCACTATTGTGGAATGTCCTCCTAGACCCCCTATTGAGACAGCTAGAACATCAAGGCGTCTACTGCCAAGCGTTCGCGGACGATGTCGCGCTGGTATTTGATGGGTGGACGGCCCTCGACATTGAAAGTCGTGCAAATGCCGGCCTCGAACATGTTCGGAAGTGGGGTGTCGTTAGCAGGCTGCGATTCGCACCGCACAAAACATGTGCGATGCTAATCACACGCAAGCTGAAATACGACACACCACGTCTGAGCATGGGCGGGGTCGCCATAGGCATGACCGAAAGTGTCAAACTTCTGGGACTTACCATCGACCACCGGTTGACCTTCAACGCCCATATGGCTGCTGTTTGTAAGAAGGCGATAGCCATCTACAAACAGCTGGCCAGGGCGGCAAAGGTGAACTGGGGTCTGCACCCAGAAGTTACGAGGACAATATACACAGCGGTGGTGGAGCCGATAATCATGTATGCGGCAAGCGCGTGGTCGGAATCGGTGACGAAGATAGAGTTCCGGAGGCAGCTGAGCGTGGTGCAGAGGGGCTTCGCCCAAAAAATCTGCAGGGCTTACCGCACGGTGTCTCTGAACTCCGCACTGGTACTGTCAGGAATTCTCCCTCTAGACCTCCGTATACGTGAGGCCGCCTCACTGTACGAGGCGAGGAGGGGGAAGGCCGACGGGCTAGTGGGAGACAGGGACGTCGAACGGATGACGCCAGCGGCAGACAAGCCCCATCCGGCCGAGCAGGGGAGGCTGGAGTTCCGGGACCTGGTAGACGAGGAACAATATAAAACAGCGCAACAAGATTGCGAGATAAGAATATTCACCGATGGGAGCAAGATTGAGGGTCGGGTCGGTGCGGCTCTGTCGGTATGGAACAGGGCGACCGAAACAAAGGCCCTCAAGCTTGCTCTCTCGGCACACTGCACCGTCTACCAGGCGGAACTCCTGGCTCTGAGCAGGGCGGTTGGGATAGCATCAGAACATCCTGCTACCACAATCGGCATCCTCAGCGACTCCAGGGCAGCACTGCAAACGGTTGCAAATCCGAAAGCCTCCCACCCCCTAGCGGAAGAATTTAGAAGAAGGCACACTCAGTGTAAACAAAACGGGAAAACAATAAACATCTATTGGATTAAGGCACATGCGGGGTGGGAAGGAAACGAGAGGGCAGACCATCTCGCCAAGGAAGCTGCCCTGAAGTCGAAGAGGAGGTCAGACTACGACTGGTGTCCGGTCTCATTCGCCAAACGTCTGATCCGGGATCGGACGATTGCCGAATGGGATAGGCGGTACCAGTCTGGCGAGACTGCTTCCGTAACGAAACTCTTCTTCCCGAGCGCGGCCGATGCGTACAGGGTCGTCGGCAAAATCACCGCAGACAAATACATCACCCAGCTGTTCACGGGACACGGCGGATTCCGGGCGTATCTGCACCGTTTTCGGTGCCGCGAGAATCCGTCGTGCCCATGTGACCAGCACACACCCGAAACACTATTACACATTATATCACAATGCCCTCGCTTTGGAAGGAAAAGAATGGATCTAGAAATAGAAATAGAAATGGAAATAAAGTCAGAAAATTTCAAGGAAATTATAAAGAAAAAAAAGAAAATAGAGAAAAATTTTTAAAGTACGCTACAGAAGTGATAACAAAAGTAACAAAAACAAACAGCGATAAGTAAAGCTGTATCTAGGTGTATAGTGGATATACAGTCATAGATAAGCAATAGATATAAGTAATAAAAAGAATAATAAAAAAAAAAAAAAAAAAAAAAAAACCTAACCTAACCTAACCTAACCTAACCTAACCTTTTTTTTTTTTTTTTTTTTTTTTTTTTTTTTTTTTTTACAAGGGGAAATCCGTCATGGAGACCCGCACGCCCCGGGGGAAGCGTGGGGGTACTGCCGGACTCCTACCGGCTAAAACCCCTTGGTGTCCTCCGAGCGCTATGGTGCCGGGGTTACGGGATCGAGACATTCAACCGTAAACCCCGGCAGCGCGGGCTCTTCAGCCCATCTCCTGAGTGGCGCGCGCGGACACCACGCGCGCCTACTCCTGGCCTCACACCGCCTTAGGTGACAGCCGACGCCCCCGCATCGGCTGCCGCGAGGCCCGTGGTGGGAGGTGACGGGCCGGACTCGGCCTCCATCGCCTCCACTCTCGCCGCCTGTTTAGGCGGACGGCACCCTTTGGTGCTCCCAATTTTGTGGTCCGCCTTCCTCTTCGCCGCCGCACAATACGGGCAATGCGGCGAAGGGGCATGCACGTTGCGGCCTTATGGCCGTCTTGTCCGCAACGGAAGCAAGCTCCGCCGCGGTTCTCCTTGGCGGTGCACCGCTGGCCCACGTGACCCGTGAGCAGACAGCGGTAGCACCGCAACGGCCGGGTATCCAAGGACCGCACCCGTGCCATCGTCCACCCCACCTTGAGTTTGCCGGCATCCACCAGCCGCTTCACTGTCCCTATCGGGGCTCGGACCCAGGAGCCACTCCCTGAGGGAGAGCGCCGGATCTCCCCCGTTTTTACGGAGGCCTCGGCGCAGTCTCCTCACGCGCTACGGCTGCCACCACGTCTGCTGTGGCAGTGGCGTCGTCCAGGTCCAAGACGCGGAACTCCGCGGACTTGACCGGCCTGGTGACGGCAACTACATCTGCCGGAAGGATCTCCGACAGCTTGGCGGCGAGGGCATCTGCCTTTCCGCCGCTTTCCTCCACTGGTCCCGGCACTTCAAGTATGCGGGACCCTGTTACCGGAGGGCCCAGCTCGGTGATTCCGAGGGCATCCAACCGGATGTTTTGTTGGGCCTCTCGGAGCACCGAGCTGTAACTTGATCCTGCCTCCGCGGCCCCCGGCTGTAGCGTCAGCACTATCGCCGAGGATTGTCGGAACTGCCTCCTCGCGTTCCTTTTCTTGGAGGCCTCATTAGTCGCCTTCTGAGTTGCCTCCTTTTGGGCTGGTCTCGCCCCTCCAGTGGGCGGCTGGGTGGCTGGGGCTGACTCCTCTCGCCCCCTTGGCGCGCTTCCCACGCCGGACGACTGTCGTCCATTGCTCCTTGGTAGTGGGAAGCGGCTGAGAAGGCCAATCCCGCCCCACTAGTGCCGGCTACAGGCGCCGAAGAACCTCCCTGTTTAGCCGCCCCAGGTGTTCGGGGTGCGGCCGTGGCGCGTTTGGGCGGCGAGATGTTTTGCCTGCCCACAAGCTCCTCGATTTTCTCAAACCGGGCATTGAAGATGTCCCCGATTTGTCTCACAATTCGCGCCTCGACGCTCTCGCTGATAGTCGGTGTTTCACTCGGACTAACATCGGTCGTCTCCATAGCCACAGACTCCGGCGATTTCGCCAATGCGGCTTTGGCATCTGCCAACTCCCTTTGCGCTGTCGCAAGCGCAAGCCGATCCTCCGTGCTTCTCTTCAGGAGATCTTGGAAGGAACTTCGTGTAGCTGCCATTTCCTTCTCCCATTCCGCTCTTTCCGCCTTGAGCATTGCGAACTCGTCCATGCCCTTGGCGGAAGCCCCCATGGTGTTCTTGAGGGTCTTTCATTTGGCGGTTTCCTGCCTCATTCCCGTCAACATTTCCCGCATGTCCACCAGTTCGTTGGCCAAACGGGAGTTTTCCGGCGCAACGCTGCACACTCTGATGATGCGGTCCTGTCTCTAGTGATTCAGACGCCGCGCGGATGTCCGCGTCCTTTATTTCTTTGACCACTGTGCCCTTCAAGTGGCCGGATTTCCTCACGGCTTCGAGGACTCTCAGGGCACACTCCCGAATATCCGGATCCCAACACCTTCGAGTCCTCGGTCGAGGGCCTGCGGGTGGTAGGGCGCGCCGACGGTTTCGGCAGAGCATTCGCTACCGCGACTGCGTCACATTCCATGGCGGCGGCCAATTGGGCCTTTGCCTGTGTCGAATCCGTGTATTTGCCCTTAATGGGCGTCTTTCCTTTTTTTGAAGTTCAGCCACGACTTCGACAATTTTTGTCCTCATCAAACTTTATCCGGGTCTGGTCTATCATCCTCCTTTTGCGCAGCGAACCGAGATGTGCTGGGCCCGAAAAAAAAGTAAATGAGAGCGACGAAACGCTCCAAGTAACTCCGCCTCGTCGCACTCACTCCTGCTTCTCCTATCCAGCTCCACGCTCCTCACAACCACCAACCTCTCCTAACCTAACCTAACCCAACCTAACCTAACCTAACCTAACCTAACCTAACCTAACCTAACCTAACCTAACCTAACCTAACCTAACCTAACCTAACCTAACCTAACCTAACCTAACCTAACCTAACCTAACCTAAAATAACCTAACCTAACCTAACCTAACCTAACCTAACCTAACCTAACCTCCCTAACCTAATAACCTAACCTTAACCTAACCTAACCTAACCTCAACCTAACCTAACCTAACCGGGTTTGGTCCCTAACCTAACCTAAACTAAGAAAACCTAACCTAACCTAACCTAACCTAACAACCTAACTAACCTAACCTAGAAAGGAACCTAACCTAACCTAACAGACAAAAAAACCTAAACAAAACCTAAAACCTAAGAGAACCAAAACCTAACCTAACCTAACAAATATACAAACTAACCTAACTATTTACAAATAAATAACCTAACCTAACCTAACTATATACCTAACCTAACCTAACTAACCTAACCTAACCTAACCTAACCTAACCTAACCTAACCTAACCTAACCTAACCTAACCTAACCTAACCTAACCTAACCTAACCTCACCTAACCTAACCTAACCTAACCTAACCTAACCTAACCTAACCTAACCTAACCTAACCTAACCTAACCTAACCTAACCTAACCTAACCTAACCTAACCTAACCTAACCTAACCTAACCTAACCTAACCTAACCTAACCTAACCTAACCTAACCTAACCTAACCTAACCTAACCTAACCTAACCTAACCTAACCTAACCTAACCTAACCTAACCTAACCTAACCTAACCTAACCTAACCTAACCTAACCTAACCTAACCTAACCTAACCTAACCTAACCTAACCTAACCTAACCTAACCTAACCTAACCTAACCTAACCTAACCTAACCTAACCTAACCTAACCTAACCTAACCTAACCTAACCTAACCTAACCTAACCTAACCTAACCTAACCTAACCTAACCTAACCTAACCTAACCTAACCTAACCTAACCTAACCTAACCTAACCTAACCTAACCTAACCTAACCTAACCTAACCTAACCTAACCTAACCTAACCTAACCTAACCTAACCTAACCTAACCTAACCTAACCTAACCTAACCTAACCTAACCTAACCTAACCTAACCTAACCTAACCTAACCTAACCTAACCTAACCTAACCTAACCTAACCTAACCTAACCTAACCTAACCTAACCTAACCTAACCTAACCTAACCTAACCTAACCTAACCTAACCTAACCTAACCTAACCTAACCTAACCTAACCTAACCTAACCTAACCTAACCTAACCTAACCTAACCTAACCTAACCTAACCTAACCTAACCTAACCTAACCTAACCTAACCTAACCTAACCTAACCTAACCAGTTGCGTTTGAGCCGCAAACCCGAGCGCCACGCTTTTAAACCGCTCCGTAAACGAAAAATAGTAAAAATAGTAAAAGTGACGAAAATATATAAGTGTGATATATCATCTAAAGCGCGCTAAAAAGACCTTTCTAAAGAAACAAAAATTTTGAAAATCGGCTCAAAAATAACAAAGTTAAGACAGAAAAACAGATTGTGTAAATAATAAAATTGTAAACTGTATAAAGCACGGAAAATAATTATTGGATTGCAGTGAAACTATAGTGAGAACAAAAGTGTTGGTGAGACCTAAGTGAAGAAACCGAAATTTAGTGGAAATACTCAAAAACAAAACAGTGACGACAACTACAAAGTTAATATAAGAAGTTACGATAGGTTATGTGATAAAAGTGACAATAACACAAAAAGTAAATCGGTGACCTATATATTAAAAATCGGAATATAGTGTGCCTCCCCGACATACACAACTACACGAAGTTTCAGATTTTTCTCGCGAAGAAAACCCGTGGAAATTGCCAAAAACCTAAAACCACGTGTCCACGTGGAAAGACTTCCCGGGTTATCCCGGACAAACGGTGGAAATTCCGAGGTGAGGGAAGACCTGGCGAGTACAACACCGAAATCCCGAGAATTTTCCGTAACGGAGAAGCCGTACAGAGGGAAAAAACCCAAAAAATCGCCAAATCTCAACTTTGGGAGACCACCACCAGAACAGCGTTAGGCGCCGGGAGCTGTAGGAACATCCAACAGCTGGAGAAAATCTCCAGCTATCAGACGACACCACAACCGAAGCCGTAGGTTAAGTACTTTTAAAGTTATATCCAAATTAGCATAAATAGTCATAAAATTAATACATTTTTACGTAAATAAATAACAAGAAAATCACCCCCCCAATTTCAAAATTTCCAAAAGGAAAATTAGCACATTAGACGGCCTATTTTCCAAAAATTACCATAGCGTTTTCAAAATTTTAAAATTCCTACTAGATCGGAAGTTATTGTAAATTGAAATTCCGGAAAAAATTAAAATTAAAATTGAAAGTTGATAATAGTCCATCACATTTGTAAAATATCATTGATAGGGACGGCCCATCATACTTCTATATCGGGTTCATGTTTAGTTTGTTCAGGTGCATATCACAAAAATAAAACGGTTTATTGATAGGGCGGGTGATTTTCGTCAAGAGTGATCGTTTCAGGATTGCATTTTAATAATTAAAATTTTTAAAATTGTATAATTCTTCCCCAAACTTGGATTCTGTCAAGGGCGATCGTTATTGGATTAAAAAATATATTAAAATATTAAATTCTTAAAAAAGTTCTATGGATTGCTACGAGTTTCATCAAAACTAGTCAAACATACCGGATTAGAGTCAAGCGTGATCATTTTAGGATTATAATATAATTATTTTTAATATTTCTTAAAAATATTCTATCTATTGTTAGAAGTTTTATCAAAATTAGACTGTCACCTTGGATTAGAGTCAAGCGTGATCCTTTTGGGATAAATAATAAAAGTATTAAATATTACTTTGAATAATTTTGAAAAATTTTGGCTAAAGTTACAATTTGATTTCCTCACAAACCCTAAGTCCAAACCCCTATAAACACCCCCTTCAAAAATCACTGGTCCCCTATAAATACCTTATCGATCCCCACCCCCATAAAACCCCCCCACTCCCCCTATAACCAACTCCTGAAAGGCTGTTCGCACATCATCGTGTGACACCTCGTTTTAATCAGCATAAAAAGCCCTAATAAACTACCCCAAAAACATCCCTATAGCTCAAAAATATTTTTTGAAAAAATCAAAAATTTTTTTTTTTTTTTTTTTCAAAAAATTTTTTGAAAATTTTTTAAAGTGAAACTG